CTAACCCTAACCCTAACCCTAACCCTAACCCTAACCCTAACCCTAACCCTAACCCTAACCCTAACCCTAACCCTAACCCTAACCCTAACCCTAACCGTCCTATGAGCCGCCTAAATGCTACTCTAAGGTCTACTATTATGAGTGACGACTAGCGCTATAGTGCCTACTTCTCCTACTATGCTACCAACTCTACACGGATACCGGGGTGCATACATCCCTCTTTCTAGGTAGATATAAACTCTAGTACCTAATGCTAGTCTATACTTACACGCCGGAACTCCGCTCGCTTAGCCATGGTTTAGAAGGGGGACTCTAGCATAGAGTGGCCATAGTTACCTTCCTCTATTTATAGGCTATAACTAGACTATAACGCTTACGTATCACGCTTCGCCGGCGCTTAGTTCCCATATAGCCCTTCTAATTAGTTACGTGCCTATCCGTCTTTCGCCAGCTCTTAGTGGATGGCTAGGTAGGCATACCACTAGGAGTAGGTGCTAAGTGTAGCATTTATATATTAAAACATCTACTTATATAGTACCTACCGAATGCGATCTATACCCTAATACCTATCTAGGTTTATAGACATCTTCTCCCTACTAGGGTCTCTAGACTCTTCTCCTTTATCACTCTCCCTACTATTACTATTGTCTTCCTACTACTCCTCCAGCGCTGGCTCCTAGAGGAAAGTAGTTAGGTAAGTAACGTGGTTATATAGTATCTAAAGATCGTCTATAAACGGCTGGCTAAGCCTAAGGAAATAGACTACCAGCTTGCCTACCTCCCTAGGGACGTAATAATAGATTGTTTTAACCCACTTACTAAAGCTGTAGCCCTTATGGTATATAGTCATAAATGAGACCATGCCACTATTAATTAGTACCCCTTAATACCTAATCCCCTCTACGCTATTCTTATACTAGATTAATATAATTTCTATACCATGGCTAGGCCCACTAGTAGAGAGATGGACTAGCGTAAAGAGACCTTCCTTAAACCTTTACACCCCTTTTATGTATACAGCTATAGCATAGTCTTACTATAGGATATATGGCGGCTACTACGTATTATTAATCCTAAGGATAAACCTCTCCTTTAGCGTAGGCTCGGCTATAACCCAGTCTAGTAGCCAGTCTTGCCATCTGTCTAGCTTGTTATCCGGATGCTTTAGGAAGCTCTAACCTATAGTAAGCTTAGTGGGCTGGTTAATAAGCTTATCTAAGGATAGTGGTAGAAGTACTATATTCCTAGGCCATACCTTATCCCTCTTATTAAGGTCTAAGAGTAGCACGTCCTTTAGTAGCTATAGTCGTACCATCTCATATAGGCCCTTAACTATAGACTAGAGGTTAGTAAGTATAAAACTCTACTTATCTATAAGAAGACGGTCCCTATCCTAAGATATAGTGCCAGGTGTGTTACGCCACTTTACCTATGTCCTAGTAAGTGTACATAAATAGAGTATTTAGTTTATAGGACTAGGCGTGCCCTTAAAGTTAGATAGTATTATAAACCGTTTAGCCATGTCTCTAACTAGCTTATAGGTAGTGGGCACTATATTGGCATTATTTTAAAGCGCCTTATCTCGCTTATAGTAGGCATGGTAAACTATAAGCGCCTTTAATATAGTGACTAGAGTAGAGAGTATAGGTGAGAACTTATACACTAGTACCCACCTACCACTATAGTAGTCTAACTTAAGGCCTAGGATAGCCACTCTACTTAGTAGGGCGCTCTTGTGCTTATCGTCTGGTAAGGTATGGTTAAGTAGGGTAATCTAGAGATGTAGACACTACACTTCTAGTCTTTCCTTCCTAGTAATATCCTCTAAGCGCGCTACCTACCTTAATAAGTATAGAGACGCATCCTACTTACCTATAAGCTAGTAAGGTGGTTGCTTAACCTAGTTATATATATGCCAAAGGTAGTAGAGTACGCTTATAAGCTTTTGGCTATACTTCTTAACTATACTAACGCGATGTCTTGTATAAAAGGGCCACTTATTAGACTCTACACCCGCCTTACGCCGCTTAATAATCTCTAAGATAAGTCAACCTATAACCTCTAGCCAGCTACTATTAAACGCCTTCTATATTAGACGCTCTATAGCTTTACACGTATTACGTAGGCTAGTATTATCCCCTACCCCCTCCTCCCTACTACTTACTATATCTAGTGGCTGTCTTATGCATAGGAGCGCTGCCCTTAAGACCCCTTATAGGTATGGTACCTAATCCGTAAGCATGAGCCATAGGTTAGCCTATAAGTAGATGCCCTTTTTAATCCTCTACTCTATAAGAGCTACCGCCTATTCTTTTTACTAATGCTGTTAATCCACCTTAACTCTCTAGCAGATATTCTCTACGTTTATGGCCTTAATGCTTATCTCAACCATAATATATACTGGCCAACCAACCGCCTTATATAAGCGCTAGTAGTGCTAACCATCTTACTATATCTAGTTTCTTATATGCTTACTTACTAGTCTCATGTCCCCTCTATGCTTCTAGTCATTTACCCAGCTATACTTCTCTTTATAGTGTTTCTACATGCCCTATAGTAAGACATAGATATACTAGCATCCCTCTACCAAGTAGGCCAACCCATCTCCTGGGGCCTTTAGGCCGGTGATAGGCTCCTAAGCGGGCTTTGGCACATGCATATTACCTGGCATCTAAGTAAGGTTAGGTAGTGCGTATATAATCGCTACTAGGCTCGTATACGTAGTAACTATAACTTTAGGGTGGTACTCTTTAAGGTGCGTAATGACCTACGCCGGTAGTATTATGGTAGTATATAGCTGGTAGATGATAATTTATAGTTTAGGGAGGTATTTAAATAACTATATAAATGATTCTATTGGACGCTATAGAATAGTATTAATATGGTCCTATCCAAACCTATTATGCCATAGAGGTAGAATGGACTATAACGTAACGTGACGCGTCTTTACTTATACTAGCTATCCATTCTAATATTTAATTAATGGAGGCTTACTTAATGGTCTCCTCTCTATAGGCTATAGTTAGTAGGGCGTAGTGGTGCATCTATACGCCCCTAACATCCCCTGGCCTTAGGTAACACGTTAGAAAATAGCAAACATCCTTTATATGTAGTCATCCTCTAAGTATCCACTCCTACTATATAATTAAGAGCTAATATTAAAAATGCACTAGTCGACCGTGCTAGATAAAGCCGTAGAGAAGTTTAATAGTAGTCCTTAGAGCTTCCCTACCACCTATAATGCATATATGGCTCACCACGCGTACAAGCCGCCAAATGGAGACTATATAAAGCTGTTCTGGCACTAGGCCATGGTTCTAGGCTCATAGTAAGACGCGTCTACCCACCCACACAGTGTAGGCTGGCTCATCCCTAATGAGGGCAGTATCTATAAGCCCGTCTTTATTGCGCACTCCGTTGTCTCCGCTATCTGGCTCCTGTACAAGACTCTCCCTGAGGGCACCCTGCCTAATAATGCCTGGGGTCGTCTAGTCTGCGCGGCCAAAGCGCTCGCGCTGGAGGAGGAGGAGGAGGAGGAGGGGCAGGGGAGCGAGCCGCCGCCGTCTATATAGAAGCCCCCAACTACCTCTTCGCAGTAGGCCGCTGCTGGTGTATAGTAACTAAGGAAGCGACCCTCTCCCTTAGCCATAGTCTCTACACCCAGGCGTGCTCGAACGGATACTAATGAGGCGCTTTCCATCCACTCTCAGCCATCTAAGCCCAGTAAGCCGGACAAACAACCAGAAGACCTACCCAGGCATAGGATGGTCGTCTCCAATAATAACCGCCGTTATGAGTGGGAATGCCGTAAGCGACTCGCTCTCTTATATGAGAGGGAACGCCTCACACTTGGCCTCGTAGCGCCTAATAATAGAGCCACTACCAAGGAGAAGGCTGCCTACGCCTCCATTACGCAATAGGATGAGTCGACCATCGCCTGGATTATTAAGCAGCCTATCTCTAATAATAAGGACCTCTACACGTCCACTAAAACGCCCTACCTTACCGCCTGCACCCTCCTGGAGAAAGTGTAGGTGCTAGGAAACCAATCCTCTTTATGCTACGCTGCCCTGTTCATCCAAGCTTGGCGTGAACGCGGCTCGCCCTTTTAGAATGAAGGCGAACTCGCTGGTAGTTAGGCTAGGATCGGCATGGCCACCAGGCGCCTGGAGCTTCCTTTGGGTTAGGGTTAGGGTTAGGGAAGGACCTAATATTATAGTAACCTTAGAGGCTACCTAATAAGTATAGATATACTACTAGTAGTAGTATATCTTAGAGATATCGCGTGCTGGTAGCCAGTTAATAGATTATTAGATGGGTGGCCCATCTACTAGCTAATTAGTTAAAGTATGGCACTAGCCACCCTTTATAAGGGCGTATAACGAAGCGAGAAGATAGATCTACGCTATATAGGGGGGAGAGGACCTTTTCTCCTTATTTAACGTCTTATACCTACACGTAGATACCGAATATAGTATATTAATCTAGCCTACCTAGGCCTTAGATATCTTGCTCATTACTCTTATAATAGAGTATAGGTATAGTATCTATCTTATATAACACCCCTCTAAAAAATTAAGCCCACTCTTCCATCTATAATCTAGCTAGTAATAGAGCTAGTAGCTCTACCTTAGTAATTAACTATTATGAGAGGCTATAACTCATAGAATTAGAACTTTAATAAAGCTTAATTAATATACTACTACGTATATACTTAGATATAATATAAGAGGATAGGTAAGGAGTAAGCTATACATTAAGTAGGTAGAAGATAAGGGGGAAGATAAGGTATGGATATAGGTGCTTAGTAATGGCGTAGCTAAGGTGTTATAGAACTAGAGGTACCGTAATAGTACCCCCTATCTAGGAGTGGGCTGCAGCTACTTATATAGCATTAAGGTGGCTACTATAAGTAGTTAACTTCGTATGGGATCACTAAGGCTAGGAATAAGATTAAGACGAATTAGGAGATAGTGGCTTAATAGGATAGATATTAATCTAGTGGTCGCTAGCTCTATAGTAGAAATACTAGTCATACTTCTCTTACTAGCGGATCTGGCTAGAAGAAGCTAATAAGGTAGGTAATGGTAATAGGCGAGGTATATTTATTGCTAATAATTATAGGCGATTAATATCCATTAGTTCTGGTCTAGAGGCTGGCCTCTTGTTCTAGGCTGGCTTTTAGTTTAGGCGGTGGGTGCGGCGATTAAGGCTCTAGGCGAGCTCATTATATATATTATATAACTGGCTGAATAAGGAGTCTATAGACTCTTTATTTACTGCAAAAATAGACTTTCATTATTAGAACGATTTGAAGGCTAAATAAAATTATTATTTATGATACTTCGAAATTAAATACAAGAAGATAATAGAGCATCTAGGTGCCGGCTACAGCGCCTTCGCTATTGAGATTGAGTTATATTAACTACCTTCCCTTAATGGTACTCTAACCTTGCGAAAGAGGATACTCTAGAGCAGAACCCACTTAATATAGTGATATAGAGAGTTTACATCACTAAGCTTTTACACAAACGTATGTTCCTGCCCACATACCTCCGCAACTCGTGCCAATACTTGGGTTCCAAGTAACCCTGAATTGCGTCGCAGATATCCCGAACTTCTTCTCAATATCGGCACAATACTCATTTTTTGCTGGAAGGTACCATTGCTTACACTTACATAAACTGTCAGGTTGCGTAGGTTCTGGATGTGCCATAGTGCATCCAGTAGGCGTTGGAGTTGCGCTAGTCTTAATGGTGCTTGACGATTTGCTAGGTGTATGACCAATAATACTGACGCACGCATAGGCCTCTGCCCATAGGCCAGCACAGTTGGACCCTGCTTGGGGGTTCCACTGCAAAAATTGTGCGAGAGTGATTCCATTTTTATCCGCGACAGCCTGGCACCCTAGCACGAGTCAGTTTCAAAGAGACAGAGATAATTGGCCAATACTGACCTTCGTTCTTCGGAACGAAGTAGAATGCGTCGCAGTTAGACACCATCGACGGCTGTGTTGGTAGTGGTGTAGATATACCATTCCCTGGTGTGGAAGGTGGAGACAACGTGCTGGTCGGAGGAGGGGCAGTTGGCGTTCCAGGTATTCCAACACAGTAACTGCTGTGGTCAGGCCATGTTTAGTTCAAGATGTGCAACTGTGCTCACTAGGTCTCCGCCCACAAAGCACGGCAGTCTTCGCCTACAGCTGGATTCCACGTAATAAATTCCTTCACACTAAACGTTCCATACTTCTTCAGGATGGTTGCACATGTTTCATCCTTGGCTGCTCCATTAGTTAGCATATCCACCCAAAGACCAATATAGTCGTTGAGGATGACTTGCCGGCGAAATAGAACGTTTGACACGATTCAATCAAGCCATCCTGAGTGGGGGATGGCTTAGACGTTCCGACGTTGGTGGATGAGGGTTGCACTGTGCTAGCTGAAAGTAGAGCAGAGCAGGGTCAGAAAAGGCGGCTCAAATAGCATATATGGACGGGGGCAGCTTACAAGAAATTGGAGCTGTAGGTGTCCCAGGAATACCGACACAATAGTAGGTTTCAGTCCACAGGGACTTGCAGTCTGAGCCAACAGCAGGATTCTATATCGGGACTTAGTGTACAACTCGATTTGAAGGACGATTGATCGAACCCATTTGATAAAAACGGCCACTGAAAAGGTACCGAACTTTCGTGCAATCTTCTTGCAGTCATCGTTCACAATAGCAAAATACCATGTTGTACAAGTATCTATAACACCATCTTGGACTGGAGACGGCTTCGGCGTGTTTGTGGGACTTGGCGTCACTGAGCTCGAGCTTGTCGTGGTAGGCTTGCGTGCGACTTCGACGCAGTACGAGTGGCCGATCGTAAGGCCACTGCAGTCGTCCTTGATGGAGGGATTCTACATTGCATCAGATCTATCAAAGCAGGAAATGAGTGAATTCTACATACCCATGCGACAAATTCAGCATGCGACACTCCCCAGAACCCTTCAAGAAATTCGCAGCTGTCCGATTCGCTCTTAGGAGTATCGTACCAATCACAGTCAGGATCAGTGTTAGGATCTACTGGACCGTCCTGGCGCTTCTTGACACTAAGGGCAGCGGCACTGGCTAAAAGCCAAAAGACTACTGACGATGTGACCTTCATAATGGGATAATCTATCGACGAGCTGAATTTCGTGATATCGTACTTGTTAAAATAAGTACTGGAGATGCAGATGACTAACAATAGCCATGTTAGCCTGAGCAGGTGTACCACTGGAGTATCTGTAAGACTGGCCCGTGTGTAACAAGTTAGCGCGCGCCATCCCCAAATTGATCTAGACTACCCTAGTCGTTGCATCACATGCTTGGAAAACCTTCGTTGCTCGCCTACTAAGCGCCCTCTTGGCGTCATCTCCTCACCTGCATGCAACCTCGCCTCCTCCTTCACAAATATCTTTCTCAGGATGGCATCTGCCCCGGATCCAGATGTGCCGGCGGCTGACTCTAGCCTCGCCCCCGAAGCAGCATATGGCAAACTGCCTTTCGATCAATTCGTCTTAGTACTTTCACCCCTTAATCTGCGGAAGTAAGCCGGCCTAACCAATAGACACAGGACTCATGGGAATATACAATCCCGGTCGAACAGGATCAGAAACAATGGAATGAGATTGCTATACAATGGCTTGGCATGGATTATACAAGTAGACGAGTACGATTTCAATTCCTGCAAGATTGAGCAGATTAGCTGAACCCCACGATCTAGGCCTATCATGTCACTGCATTGAAGCTGAGCAATGTTACCTCGGACGATGCTCGGATGCCAACACCGGACCAAATCCATCGTGTTCTAATGCCGCATCAAACGACAGAAGAGCGCAACCGAGCTCTGACCGTGCCTCATTGTTTGTGGATCAGGACTTGTTACGAGCCAAATCTCACCTCGGTGTTCGCCGATATGACAAGGTTTATGGTTGCTCCCAACGCAAATTTCTTGATTGACAACCAGACCCTCTACGACGTGGGTGATGACTGGTCCAAAGTTTTTTTGCGCATGCCGCACATTCCAGATGTGGAGATGTATTACGCAGATCCGGACGTTGTGGACTACGAAGTGGAATACGAGCCACCAGAAGAAGTTGACTTGCAGCCACTGTATGATGCTGACCTCAAAATGAAGTGTGTGCATTTTCTATTGGACAAGGAGGCTTTGCAGAGACAATTGCTCAAGGTACTCTGGCTAGATAGACACGGGAAGCTGGTGTGGTGGAATTGGATGGCGCCTTCAAATGTGCAGGCTTTTGAGGGCCTGTTGAATGGATTAGGAATTGGCCTTAGCAGAATTATGGAAATGGCTGAAGTAGACGCACAATACCGCGAGAAAGGCGTTGTAGTGCCATACGATGATTACTAGTTGGGAAGTTTTGGTGGATGTATGGTAAGATGTGTTCTCGAAGATAAAAACTTAGCTACATCTACAGTAACAACGAAAGTTCTGCATCCCAATAACTAATCCGTAGGATAAGGAGGGAAACAGTTCGGAGGGAACGAAGTACTAGGTAGTGGCGTGCCCGTCAAAACTGGATTGCAATACTTGTTCAACAGGTTTGTGCACCCTGTGCTCAATCCTTCCCAGTCGAATCCATCATCCCATATCTGATCTGTAAGCGGGCAGTACTTGAAGTAATCGGCTAACGATGCTATGGGACTTTCCACCAATGACAATGTTTCGGTTGTCATCGAAAACTCGCCGCTTAATGTTGTGGTTCTGTTTGCGAGAGGCACACCTGCAGTTGGACCAGTAACCCAAGAACCATCTGGCCAGGTCCACGTATCGTTCCATGTCGCTGTTGGTGTGAAACTGTAGCTCTTAGTTCCTGGTGGACTGAATGAATATGTTAGTATTTAGTTGTGAATATCTCTTCCGGTCGCAGCTTACGTTATACAGACGGTGCGTCCTTTCAATACATCCAGCTTATCACAATTAGACTCCAAGATTGGGTTCCATTGAACCAATTCGGTCCTCGTAAATCCAAGCCGACTAGCTATAGCCTTGCAAGTTTGATTGGCTTGGATCTGTCCATAGTCTCATATCAGCGGCAGCATCATTATGAATAGGAGGTTGTCATACCGTGTATGTCTTGCAAGCATCTCTGATACACACACTATTGCCAACATTGAGCGTCTTGCAGCCGAAATCGATGCTGTTTTGATACAAGAATCGATCTAGAGCGAGGCTGTTTGATTTTGCGATTGACTCGCAGGTGTCACCTTGTGCAACTGTATACTGCTGTCCACCCCAGCAAGCTATATTTGGTCCGCTAGTGGTGCTGTTACTCCTGTTAGATACAATGACCAGCATATGACTGGAGTTCACCTACGCAGGCGGTGGCTTTTGTATTGTGATAGTCGAATGTGGATACTTCGTAGGCGAAACGTTGCACGAAGAGGCAATCGACGAGAATCCCTTCTCGCTGATCACCCTAGCTCCAGCTGCATTGCTCAACATACCCGCAAAATATTTAAGAGTGCAGTCGTCGCAGTATCCAACACTGTGATTGTGTATCTTTGGGAGACAGTAATCGATTGACGATGTGCCAGTAAGACATGCCATGTCGCGGGCCCACTTCAGAGGCGCGATTAGATCATTACCCGTCTTGTTGTTGTTGTATCCGAAGTCGTAGACAGTGTTGCCGCATCGAGTGTTGATGTTTGTTGTAAATGAATTAAATGAGGTAGAACATGCAGAACTACAGTAATCCCCAAGAAAGGTGTTATTGAACGGAATCTCACGTACGAGGTCAGATGCCAGGATGAATCGAGGACCACAAGTGATGTCGGTTGACAATGCCGCCCTGCATCCTGCGGGGACTTGCGATGGTAATGATGCGGGACTTGGATAAAGTTTTATCGCAGTAACAAAGTTTGTTAAACTCCCAATCGTGAAGAGCACGGAGAGTATACACCAGCTTCTGCTGCGATTTGTTGCGTACATCTCCAGTGAGCTTTGCACTAGACAAATCAACAACGGAAGGCATCGGGGGTATTCTGGTGAGAGCTTGCCAGAGTGGAATCGTGTTAGAAGAAGCACGACAGACCAAACTACAGAATGATTAAGCAGGGTCGAAAAAGGTGTGCAATGAGTCGTTTCAAACGTTTCCTGCTATTTTGAGATCAACATACATGGTGCAGCAGTCCGTCTCGGCACGCTACATAAGCATATGCAGGTCCAGTGGATTGTTCGGGTACTTGGCATTGCAGCCCCTAAGAGGTGCAGGGCTAGACCGCCTATATCCTGGTGACTGGCTGGGATGCAGGAACCCGACGCTGCAAAGGTACATAGAAGCTCTTCCGGTCAAATTCTGGCTGACAAGAACATAAGCCAGTGTCACAATGCTTTAGTGTGTTGATCTGACATGTAGCATGAGCGCAGAATCTTGCTCGTGCACCTCACCGACGCGTGGTGGCAGCCCTGACAGGACGACACATTCGCTTGGGACGACAATATAGGGCTGAAGCATGGCGGAGTACAAGATCGCTTGCGGCGGAAATCTTCAAGGCCTCCGCGGCGCCGCGTGAACGCGAAATTTCTGTGAGACTTGATGTGACCTAAAAAGCCCAATGAATCTGGTGGAATTTGGCTGCAGAGTCATGCTTGCATGATCAAGAATATGCCTCGTTAATAGAGTTGTATTGCTTGTTATTGCTTAGGCGCTTTTCTCTGAATCCATTCACTTTCAGGGCCTGGCCTATTTGTGACTTCATCGGATGACCGGACCGCTTGTTATTACTTGGGCGTAATCCTACGTTGGCCAATTTCCGTGTCGCCTCAACGATCTGCAACGTGTGCGCTGAATAGCTCTCGAAAAATCTGCTGATGATCGACCTCAATTATAGCTATAGTGCGGCACGGTTGTCGCGTAGCTATTTGGACCCCACTTGCTTACTTTTTAGCTTGGCGAGAACATCTCAGCTGCCTATCTAGACGTCTCGTGCGTATCCTCGTAATACTAAGCGTTCCAAGGTCATGTTACATCAAACTCTACGAGTTGACAAAAGTGCTTAGTCGAGTAGCGGAAGCGAATACGATCCGTTTGCTTTGTCTTACTTTCGCTTCGGGTTGATGTGGGTGCCGTAGTGAGTACCGGCATTCATATCCTGACTAGCGGGAGGATGCGTTGCGCAATACTCTGCATTTGGCGTTCAGGTATTTGACATGGTGCTGTAGTGACGAGGCGCGATCTCACGAGCTTGGCTTTCTGACAGTATTCTGTTGATCGCAAGGTAAATTGGATTACAACGCATCCGATCTTGGGGATACTTGCTTGCTCACTTTGTTTTTTTCCCCCACTACCACTACAACACAATTCCACTCCTTTGGTTTCTTTACCGTCGAAATTCACGAAGACCTGTTTTCTCTTCCGCAGGATGAGGATATCAACCCAAAGATGGACTGATTCCGCTGTCCCATTGGTGATCCTCACCGTGCTGATAATCGTTGTTCAGTTGACGTCGGCACAACAAGCCGCCCCGTGCAATGCTCTCGAGCCTTGTAAATCAGGGTGCTGTAGCTCTAGTGGAAAATGTGGTTTCGGAGATGAGTTTTGTAAAATTGGGTGCCAGGGAACTTGCAACGCAACTGCAGAATGTGGTAAATACGCTCTGCCAGATAACTTCGATTGTCCTTTGAACGTGTGCTGCAGGTTTGTAAATCCGACTGATGAGATATGAGAGGCGCTGAGCAGTAATAGTAAACATGGTTTTTGCGGTTTTGATGGCGAGCACTGCACCCCCGAATGCCAGAACGAGGACAAGTCTCAGTGTGGTACAGTCGAGTAAGTCCTTCATTACTAGGAATACATAGCATGCTGATAGTACGCAGCCGCAAAACATGTAGCGAGAGCACTGATGCAATGTCCGCCGAAGTTCGCACCGCCTACTACGGGGCATGGAGCGCTGGCCGATCGTGTGATTCTATGGAGCCTGAAAACATTCCCGCTGGTGTGTTGACACACGTCAACGTAGCTTTTGAGTTCATCACAGCTGATCACGAGATTACTGATGAGGTCGGTGCTATTGTGGGACGCGTCTCTCGTTTGAAAAACATATACCCTGGGCTCCGGGTCAATGTTGCAATCGGAGGATGGGTATTCAACGACCCACCCACGCAAACACGTTTCTCGGACATGGCATCCACAGTTCCGAACCGTCGGAAGTTCATAGAGTCACTCATCAGGTACATTCAGAAGTACGCACTTGACGGTGTTGATTTGGATTGGGAATATCCTGTGGCTGACGACCGCGGCGGCACCCCACTAGATTCTTCCAATCTTGTGTTACTCGCCTCTGAGATCAGAGAGGCCTTCGACACTTACGACCCAGGATGGCAGCTAACACTTACACTGCCCGCCAGTTATTGGTATCTAAAAGGATTCGACATCAAGCGGCTTGAGGAACACGTGGATTGGTTCAATGTCATGACTTACGATATCCACGGTCTTTGGGATCAGGGTAACATTTGGACTGGGCCTTATCTCAAAGGTCATACTAATATCACTGAGATTGAGGACGGGCTCGATCTTCTGTGGCGCAATCACATCAGTCCAGATAAGGTGGTGATGGGATACGGGTTCTATGGTCGCGGTTTCACCATGACGGATGTAAGCTGCTCCACGCCACCGAGCTGCACTTTTGATGGTCCGGGCTTTGCGGGAGATTGCACCAATGAACCTGGAATTCTTTCCTACAATGGCAAGTCAAGCATAACGCCGCTCTACTTTTTTACTGATGTATCGATGCTCAGAGGTTCTGTCTAAGCAGGGAGAACTTAGCGCTACAGTACACTACGACGAGGCGTCTTCGGTCAAATACATGGTTTACGGTTCCAATCAATGGATATCATACGACGATGCGGAGTCTTTCGAGCGCAAAAAGAAGTACATGTTTTCGCGCTGCCTAAAAGGACTCATGATCTGGGAGCTTGGTCTCGACACGGCCAACAATGACGCGCTTGTAGGTCTCTTCGGAGAAGAAGCGGTCAAGGCCGGCAAACGTGACACTTCACTCAATCCAGAGGAAAGAGACAAGCTTGCCTTCGATCTATCGGCCTTCACCGGTCAAAATTGCTATGTGGCCTCCGGGTGCACCGACGGAAAGAAAGAGGAAGGGAACAGCACGTGTGTCGCCGGATACTCAGCTATAGAGGTGGGCCACAGTCTTTTATCCATGGATCAAGATGTAACGTTTGCACTCTCCTGCGAAAAAGGCCAGTATAATCGTATTTGCTGTCCAACGAAAGCCATGCCTAAGAATTGCGAATGGATTGGCGCACCAGAGCGCAGTGTATTTGGATGCAGTGGTGAATGCGGTGCATCCCAGTTCGAGCTGAATAGGGACTATTCCACTGATCAATGGGGGAATGGCGAATGCGGTTCAGGACAACGGAGATTATGCTGCGACTCAACAGAAGTCCTACGGAAGTGTAAATGGACAGACTGCGAGTGGTCCTCGTCAGAAAACGGTAATTGCAAAGACGACGAGGTGCAAGTCGCAAAGCGGTTTGATACAGATGACGGTGAGAACTGCAAGATGCAAAGGGGTGAGGGTAATGGAGGGAACCAAGGTCCTACCACACACGAATGGTTCAGGTATGCCCCTCTATCAAACTATGACTCTGTCTCATCACGATGGACATCGACTAATGAATACAGATCCTACTGCTGCCCGAAGAATGACGCTCTCGAAGACTGTAAGTGGTCGAACGATCCCGAATACTTCAAAGGAAAGGGGGACGGCCACTTGTGGTCTTGTCCAAACTATCCCAATAAACCGGCCGACTATTGCGACAAGTTAGGCGTATGCAAAAACAGAATGTGCTACAAAGGTTCGGTACGCATAACCGAAGCAGGCTATACCGAACCGGCTCACGAACTTGCTGCATCAGACCCAGACTTCACGAGTTGCGCATTGGGAGAAGACAATCCTAATATGCCTTTTGGCTTGTGTTGTGCTCCACCATCACGGTTCACGAAAGATTGGCCGGTAAACCCTGCTTATCTATGGGCCAAAGCTTATGCAGACAAAGATGATGATGTGACTTGGGAATGGGCAAACAACTTTGGAAACAATCACGCAGACACTCATCCTAACAATCTAGAGGATGACCCTGGAGACGATCCATACGGTTTTGTTATGCTTGATGGTCCTCCTGGATCCATCGCAAAGCAGTTTTCTAAGCAGTTTACTGTCGTGACGGACGACGAGCCTGTACATGTCGTTCCGCGGTCTTTTGTCACGACCAACCAGACCCAGCTCGATGCCACATTCGACCACGCCGAGGAAGATTTCCTCGTCTATTGCAACTATCCACATAATTCACCACATTGCAACGAGGTCTTCTACAAAGGGGCCATCGACACTATCATCAAGCTTCCTCACCATGTCGGCGATGGTCCATGGGCAAGAATCGTCTCGATGGAGCCTGAATACACACCAAAAGACCTCCCTGGATGGGCCATCAGAAAGCGAGCATTTGACGGCGTTCCCCGGAATGGTATTTACCGAGTCAAAATTGATTACAACTTCAATCTCATCAGGCGAGACGATGGCCCCGTCAACATGCGTGTCGACTATACGAACTTACAGGGCTACTGGGATGATGTGACCGATGAGCCTGGCAGCACCAAACACAAGCGTTCAGATGATCCATTCGAATCCACAATGGACTACAACTCGTGGAGAGCACGGGTAGACAAAGCAAAGAGCTCTTCCTATGCGACAGATCACGATGAGTTTGACATCGCCGCTCGTGGAAGTGCAGATTTCCGCAGGCGTGGCGTTCTACCCGCGACGTTCCCAAGAAGCAAGCGTGAAGCACATCTAGGGCGTCGTTGGTGGGGCAAATTCACCGCTTGGCTCGAAAAGCTGACCACCATCACTAAAGAGGGTGCCGGAAATCTTCCAATGGGTCTGAGTAAAGTCTTTAACATCTATAGTGGCCGGCTTCAGTGCGCCAACCCTTCTGGTGTAACAATTACTGCTGGGCTAGATATCACTGCCGATGTGAGACTCCAGATGGGTACTCGATATGCCTATTACTTCTCCGGTACTGTAGTCCCACCCAACATCATCGACACGTACGTTTTCTTGGGTGCACAGCCAAGTATCTCCTCTACCGTCGAGATCCGAGGAAATGCACAACTGGAGTATGAGAGTGAAGTGAAGAAGCTTATAAGCACCATCACATACCCCGGTCTTTCGATCAAAGGCATTGCGACTGTTGGACCGTCTCTTGATCTTCTGGGGCAGATCTACGGCAAGATTACCGTAGCTGGAAACCTCAAGGTTGGAGCCAAATACACCATGGATCCAATCGAGATGTATATGCCCAACGACGATAAAACTCGCGAAAAGGCCAGTAACAAGGTTCAATTCTCTAAAGATGCTGGCTTGCAACCCATTTTTGAGGCGGGAGTGCAAGCTACTATTGGTCTACAACTCCGTGTCACACCACGAATCAACTGCGGGATCAGGGTTGGTGGAGACATAGGAATCCGAAAGGAGCCACTGGTTCTAGCTCAAGTCGCAGTTTACATGAACACGACACTCTACTTCGAAGCGCACGTCACAGCCGAAACCACTGGCCTGACAAGCAATTGGGAGTATCGTTACAAAGTCGAACTTTGGTGGCGAATTGTACTTGATGCTGATGCCCAGTTATACTTATACGGCGCATGGAAGTCCGAGGAATTCGTCGTCGTAGACTGGCAAACAATACCCATTTACGAATACGTGGTAAAGTCTTCACCCGAAGGAACTTCGAAGGTTCGCGCTCTTGACAGTGGTCCTTCTTGGCTACCCAAGGAGCCACTCACCAATCCTGTCTTCGGAAAAGCTTACGTTTCGGCTCCCCAGTACAAATCTCCCTTGCTGGAGCCCTTTTCTCTGTTCAGAAATAGCTCTAACTCATCTACGGGTGTTCTCGCAGTACCTCTAAACATCACCAAGCGGTCGCATGCTCACGCACATCTGGCGAAACATTTCCATCCTCGTGCCAAGAATGGCGAAGAGGATGAGTTTATGCTTGGAGACTTCAAGTGTACGACTGGCAGTACTGCTTGTGATTCCAACGGATTTGATGCAAGAGGCCTAGATCCTTTCCGCCCACGCAGCTGGTTACCCACAACCAAAGAGCTCGAAAGACGCCAGAATCGTGATTGTCCTGCAAAAGTTCCCAGGCTCTACTGTCAGTGTCTTCCTTCTCTCTTCGTGTTACCTTCTAACTAGCTACAGACAATTGCATCGGCAACTTCGCGGATACTACTATAACGGGTCCTGCTGGCACCGTTACTGTCCCAGGGATATGTACTTCCATTAGAAGGTATGCTATTTGACTTGATCAGAAGATGGGTGGGAACTTTGGCTGATAAGCGGTGCTCTGCACATCAGATATCTCACCAACCATGGAATCATCACCAATCAGTACCCTTTGAGCTACGAACCAAAAAATCGGCCGAAAAGGAACCGTGAAGTCTGTGCGGCATCACGAAGTCCATGTCCTGGGGCCAACGGGGCTAATGCTCGCTGGAAAGCGGCACTGGGCGGAAACTGGCTCCTCGCTGGGAACCTAGGCTCGTGTGACGAGGTGCGTATACTCCGGTCAAGATGAATCGATTTATATAGACTAATCTTGTGTTCTACCATTGCAGTTTCCATTTGCAACTGTGAGTTCAAAAATCAAAATCGACATTGATCATAAGACTAACCCAGCGCTTCTAGACTGAGGAAGGAGGTGCCGGCTATAATGGCATCAATCCTGGAAATCCCCTTGGAGCCACGGCTACCTGTGCTTCGGTTCCTGCTCAGAACCTTCAGGGCAACTGCAATGATCTAATGAATCACATCGAAACAAATACCGAGTACTTCAACAATGCTGGTAACCCAAATTCTGACGCCAGTGCTGGCGCCTGGTATCCCTGGAATAGCGGCGAATGGCTTCGTAAAGGTGGTATGACTAAGGGAGGCGATCCGGGTCGGCAGAGACTGTCCAGGTATGCCAATGACCAGCCCGTAAAGCTGGAGGGGGTCTCGGATACCGAAAAGAACGACCGAAGCCTCAGCTGGTACCACAGACGTAACTTCACGTTATTTCTGGTAAACAACAGGCTCAATGGACCGTTTTCCTTTCCTGGCAATGCGTTTGCGGCTGGCACGATCAACGGAGATGGTGCTGCGGTCACTGCGGTCAACAATGCCGCCTGGATCATGTGCGCAGTCAGCCTTCGAGGTCAGGCTCGATTTCGATTTCTCCGGGACTACAATGGCTGGTGTTGGGATGGCGTAACACAAGCTCAGACTTGGAGGTTTGCAAACCCATCTGGCCAAGCAGGGACTGCCACGTGGCGGAATGTCTTCTTCACTTGCCGTATTGACTTTATGGGCAGCACGTACAGCAGAAGTCCCGATAGCAACAAGAGAAGTGCACCTGTGCCTATTGGGTATTTTGGTGGTCAACCTGTTTACGGTACGAGCAATACCCTCGTCGTATACCTCACGATGTCATTGTTCAATGTTCACTAACTACCGAATTTAGGCGTCCAACCGGCAAAGGACACTAAGTACATAAGTGTTGATGTACCAGTCCATGAGCTTACTATACCGGACTCGAAGGATTCGTTCCCGTTGACTTATGAGAAGTGGTAGTGGAAACTGAGTTTACAAGTTACTATCTAGATTGTAAGGGACGAGGTGCTCGAAGAGCCAAAGATGCCAGAGAGAAAACTTATGAAATCACGAGGGGTCGAAGTTATACCTCTGACCCCGAACTTCACATACATGTCTCCGAAGCTCGGATTAGCATGCCGAAGCTCACATAACTGGGCGTAGCCCGTTACATAGATTATATTATAAGACTTTATTATTACTATTTAATTGCACCCATAGTACTTAGTAGATAAACGTCTTACTAATATCTGTTCTAGTTAACGTGTTCTATCAGTCATTGGCGCATACCGACTCTTGGCAGCTTGTGCCGCACCTCAGCTCATGCCGCACCAACAAGCTTGATCGGCCAGCAACTTTATACTGTAGATACACCAAAACGTGCTATTATCACGAGATCTCTTGGGGTTGAGGGCAATCAGGGCTATAGATTTATCCTATCTACTCAGCTTATCGATATCTACTTGGTGTTCTGATCTGGCAACCTCTGCGGGTTGACGGTGTTGATGCTGGTAATGCAGCCTCTACTACCTCTACAGCTCCACTGGGTGCCTTTGTACGTCTAATAATATGCTTAAGAGGTGTAGAGGGCATCTTAGGAGCTGATCGAGCTATCTTGATCGATCGTTGGTGTTGTTGTTGGGCCCTGCGGGCCTGTTGATCAGGCGTCTCTGTATAGCCGCATCAGCCCTCTGGCGCCTACGCGCCTCTCTATCAGCTACTCGAGCAACACGTCTCTCCTCAGCTAATCGAGCATTAAGTAGTTGATTAGCCCTACGGGCCTCTATCTGATCAGCTTGTTGACGCTCCTTCTGCTTCTCCACCTGATCGAGTTGGTGTTCAAGATCACGTGCCCTCTGTACTTTGCTAGGAGACCAGAATATTGCTCCACCATAGCTCTGATCAAGGGGTAAAGGCCTACCTTTCTTAGAGCGGCGTTTCTTAGTGAGCAAGGCTTCTCGTAGGTGCTTGTTCTCCTCATCTAGGAGCTGTTTTTGGATAGTAATATGGTGTACTGTTTGACTCAGCTTCTTGGCCTGACTATCACCTCCTACACCAACAACAGCCTTTAGGAGTTGATTGATTTTACGCCAATCAGACGCGCTGAGGGCTGAGGTATCACTATTAGGTGTATCTCGACAAGATGGTGTTGATTGATGGAATCGATCAAGGATCCTCTGTGGATTGAGTGGCCATATACCAGTAGCTTCAAAGGCACTGAGGATCAATTGAGGCCTCATCGTATCGATCCAGGCCCTCTGGAAAAGTCGATAGAGTCCCTCATAGTCATAGCAATAAGCCCCTGGCTGGTGTTGATAAATGAGATGAGCTCATTTGAATACGCTGTTGATAGAGGCTTGAACATGGATACATCAAGAGGCTGCAGCGTATGGGTAATTAACCAAAAGCTCCATGTAGTGCTTTGCGCGTTGCTCCACCGAACAGCCTTCTTCAGGCTCCCGAGCACAGCTTTGTAGGAACTGTGCAACGGCGGATGGCGCGCCGCTGCTACGCATTTCCCCCGAGGAAGCCGCGGTGGATAATTCTTAAGCCCTCAGGCTATCTACATGTTCGAAATACGCTACCATCTTCTCTTGCAGTTTCAGATGGGATAGGGTCTTAATGAGATTCTTAATCTGCGCTTTGATCAAACGGATCTCTTTTTTGCCCCTCTGTCGTGCTTTCTCGAGATCGACGCGAAGGCCCAGCATGTCGTGACGCTTCTTGAACCCCAAGTCCTCTGCACCCACGGCCACAGGAGCGCCTACGTCCCGGCTTAGGGACATGCTATGGAGGCTCTGGGAGAGGTTGTCGTTGCGCCTAGCTATGGGCCCAAAGGCTAGCTTCATGAGATCCTCGCGGACCCGTTTCGTCTGGTAACTTCCCTAGGAGATCTAGGTAGTGTTAGAGAGGATATAATTGCGTAGCGTATTAGTGAGAACGCTTATAAGGTTTTAGGGGTCTGTAGCGAAATCACTTATCTTACGTTATATAAGTTTTATAGGGTTTACTTACCATTAAGCCTTCCGCCAGCACCAACCCATATTATATAGAACTATAGATCCTCGCATAACCTACTAATAAGGCATATCCTATACTATAGATTATAGAAAATACTATTAGAGAGATTAAAAATAGGGCGATTAAGTATATCCTCCTTCTAGTCTAGTAGTAGGAAGTCTACACTTTTAAGTAAAGGATAGGAGAGTAGTACCTTAATAAACTTATACCCTACTTTAAAAATATTATCCTTAATTACTTATATAGTAATAATACTAGTAAGATAGATAGAGCTATATAAGATAAGTATTATAGAGAAGGATATTCTATATAATTTAAAAAGGGTAAGTGATTATAGTAGTAAGGAGTAGAGTAAAGAATATAAGAGGAGAAGTAGTATAGTTATACTTATATGAGTACTCTAGAGACGTATAAAGCTAAGTTTAGCTTATTCTTCCTAATTATAGGGGTGATAACTAGCTTTATATTAGACTAGTTATTAGGGTCCTATACTATAGCTAGGGTAACGTCCCTATACTTAATATTTATTATCGTCGCCTACCTAAAGCTTCTAATAGTAGCTAGGAGGAGGATGCCATAGAAGGAGATATATATACTAGGCTAGTAGGGTATATTATTAGCACACTACTATAGCGTCTTAAGGAGGATAATTATATCTTTAGTAGTAGCTTTTATTTTTTTAAAAGTAAGAGTGGTTAAAGTTTATACTCCTCTATAAAGGTATAGAAGATCTACTAAATTATTATGGCTACGCCGTAACTAAATAACCTATATGGTAATTATAATAATTATCTATACCCTTTATACAATACCATATGGTTTATCTAGCTAGGCCAGTGTACCGTACCTTTATATAACACCACAGCGGCTGACTGGTACACTAGCCAGCCGCCGGTGGTAGCAAGGGATACTAAGACTTAGGGGATTAAAATATGCCACTCTGGCATCCTTCATACAAGATAAACATAATGAAATACCTAACTTTATTTCTTACCCCCTTATACGAAAGTGCACTTTACCTTTAGATACTTTATTATAGCTAGGACCAACCAACACTAATTAGTGGTTAATTTAGGTCAACTATAAACTAGTAAGGCTAAAGATAGAGCTACCTATAACCTAACTAGGCTCTATATTGTTACCTTGTCTCTTCTAGAAATTACGAAGGATAAGGAGATCGATTTTCTAATTATATAATAATAAAAACAAGACTATAGTAGCACTAGGAGGGTGGTTTAGTTTTTATTTAGACTTCGCATAGGAAGGAAAGAGATTATAAGTATATTTTTAAACTAAAAACTTATCGTATAAACCGCAAAACGATACGTATACCTAAGAACCTATTGTATAATCACGCAAAATAATAAATATGGCTCTAGGGGAGTTTCCTTAGGAGCGAGGAGAAATAAGGGAAGGATAATAGTATAATGAGATTACTATGGCTATAGGCATTATAAAGGCTACACTTAAGAAGGATGTTAGGTAGGAGTACTAGGTTAATTACCTTAATCTATCTAGTAACCCTAATAAGTCCTAGCTTATATCGTACGCTGCCTACTTACTAGTAGAGCTTCGTGCGACAAGCCTACTAGGTAAATAGTTTATTACCACCTTTACTAAAGACTTTAAAGGATAGAGTAAGATAAACTTTATAGTGCTTAGTCGTGTAATTAAGAGAGAGCTACTGGCAGTCCTTTCGCGTAGACGTTAAACGCTAGTATATAAGCAAAGGCATTAAAATTGAGCCCTTAGCACCCAATACATAGGCCTAGAATAGAGGAGCCGAGCGCTTAGGGGGTGTAATTAAGGAGAAAGCCCACACGATGCGCCTTAACGCCAACCTACCATGAGACCTTTAGCTAGAAATCACATGAGCTATGGTGTATCTACATAATCACACTCCAAACTATAAGAACTAATGGCGTACACCATACGAGAAGTTCTTTACTATAGTCTCTCTCATTAATGGGATTATATCTCAACCAAAGAAACCAGCCCTAGGGTATCTTAAAGCGTATAGAAGCAAAGCATTTATCATAACTAATAATACCTAGCGTAGTAAGAGCAAGCTCTAGCGACTAGATCTAAAGGCATAGATTAGATATCT